GCGGAGGGCGCCGGGCGCCGGGAGGGGCCGGGAAGGCGTGCGGAGGGTGCCGGAGAGTCTCCCGCACGCGTGGTTATGGCCCCGGAGGGGACACACGTGAGGCAGAGCCCGAGCACCGAAAGCGCCAGCCGCGGAGCCAAGAAACGTCACAAACCCCGCGCGGAATAAGAAGCCGCCGGCAGGAATCCAGGGTGAGACCGCTGAGAGCCGAGGACGAAGAAGCCGCCCAAAGACACGGTGGCCTCGTGGGCGCGAGGTGCTGGCAGGGCCGAGGGGGAATCTGCACCGCTCGTGGGAACGGGGAACGGAGCAGCTGCTGCGTGAAATGGTGCGCAGCCCCTCGAAAAATTCAAACGACTTTTCCCGTAGGGTCCAGTAAGTTCGCTTCTGGGTGTGTCCCCAGAATTCAAAGCAGGGCCTCAAAGAGATCCGCGCACACCTACGTTCATAGCGGCAGGAGTCACAAGAGCCGAGACACAAAGCTCCCCGAGCGCCGTCACGGATCCGTGGACAAGCAAAAGGGCCCGTACGCAAAAGCCTCGAAAAGGAAGGACATTCTTACACCTGCGCAGTGTGGGCGAGCCTTGGGGACACTGTGCTGAGTGGATTAAGCCAGTCACGAAAAGACAGGCCCTGTGTGGTCACTCGTGTGAGGCCCCTGGAGGAGTCAGAGGCGCCGGGGGAGGGGGACTGGGCCTCAGAGCCTTCGGGGTGCAGTAGCCTTCGCAGAAAGGCGAGGCTTTCCGGGCGGGGGGGAGGTGGCTGTGAAAAGATGAATATACTTAACACCACTGTGCTGCGCCCTTAAAATGGTGAGGACGATGAGTTGTATGTTACGGGTATTTTAGCCCAATTTAAGCGTTTGAGACAATGAGAGCCTGGGCCGGCGGTGGGGAGGGACGTGGGGGCATCGCGCCCGTCTCCCATTTTCAAAGAACCGGACCTGCTGGCCGGGGCCAGGCCTCCCGGGGCTGTCGCTCGGCCTCCGCGAGACTCGCTCTGCCCATCGGCTCAGCCCCTGCTGCAGGACAGCAGTGACCGATGCGGGGGGAAGCCACCCGCCTAACGTGCTTTCCACGC